ACCTGTGCCTCTCATTTGGCTGTGGTCTCTCTTTTCTATGGGACGCTTTGTATGGTATATTTGCAGCCCCTCCAAACATACTCCACGAAGGACTCGGTAGCCACAGTGATGTATGCTGTGGTGACCCCCATGATGAATCCTTTCATCTACAGCCTGAGGAACAAGGACATGCATGGGGCTCTGGGAAAACTCCTCCTAAGGAAAGGCTTCCAGAGGTTGACATGAGCTAATTTTGGAAATTGAAGTGGAGACTGGGAATTTTCTACCACATCAAAGCATTATCTTACACAGACACAGGAGTGATTAGGACATAGCTCCAGCTCAGAATGAATTTATGTATCTGTGGTGAAGGAAAGGCATGTATGTGTAACCCCAAATCCCCCAAATCACAAAAGCCTTGGAAATAAATGAGGTCATACCAAGAATTTTGCAGGATAAGATCCTTCAGCTACGTGGCCACAGTATCACATTGCCACCATGCTCTGGAATCCATGTAAATGGATTAACTCACCAACTAAAAGATATGCAATGTCTGAATGTGTAAACTAAATATACCCAATTATATGTTACCTACAAGACATAACACTAGAAGTTGAAAGATTGTCATAAAAACCCAAATCTGTACTTAATAGTTTAGGAATTATAGTTTAATCAAAATATGTATTTTAACAGAATGTGCTCCTAAGAATTGGTCAATGCTTTATTTAAAAAATTGGATACACAAAATATTGGGCATCTATACTAACAGAGGTAAAAAATGGGGCCAAATAGCTGGGAGACATTGTGATCCTGGGCCTATATTCCCACACAAAAGTGACCTCCTTGGCTCGGTAGCACTTTGTCCTTTCAGACATGGCATAAACTCTGCAGTTCGTCAGCATGCATCATTGTGTTCTTGGCATTGCTTTTCTCAGAAGAAAGTAATATTTTCTGGATTCACAGAGATACCACAAAAAGAAAAATAATTGTATTTTTTGAGAAAAAGCATGAATGTTTCTTTCTGGAGTATATAGTATCCCAACACGTTTAACAAGCAAACAAAGAGCACCTGTATCAAACCTATTTTACATTTAATGAATCTTACAGTGATCAATGTACAAAAAAGTTATGATATGAAAACTTTAAAGAGCAAAAAGAAGACTGAAGTTTTTCATTCCTTTTTCAATATTATTATAAAATGAACAATGATATTGTGCAATGTTGTTGTATTTGATGAAATAATTGGCTGGGCTTCACTCTTTTTAGAGATTTTGAGTATTAAATGATGGTCTTTGGGATTTAGCAAAATTACATGCTTCAAACAGAAAGCAGCATTCATGCCTTGCCACATGAGACATAAACATAAATAATACCGCTGAATTCACTATAGTTATTTGTGATGATGAAAGTTTGATCCTTCCAAAGAAACTTTGGAAAAGATTCTCTATTAGACACAATATCAAGAAATCAGCTCTATTATAATTAGAGAAAAAAATAACTTCAAAATTTTAATGTTAGCTGATCAAAATTAGTTAAGTCTACTACAAACTGCACTCTGATAGTATTGGTAATAATGTCAAACCTGTTTTTATTTTTTTTAATGTTTATTTATTTTGAGAGAGAGACAGAGTGTGAGTGGGGGAGGGGCAGAGAGAGAGGGAGACAGAATTCAAAGCAAGCTCCAGGCTCTGAGCTGTCAGCACAGAGCCTAACATGGGCTTGAACTCACAAACCATGAGATCATGACCTGAGCTGAAGTCAGACGCTTAACTGACTGAGCCACCCAGGCGCCCCTTGTCAAACTTGTTTTTAAAAATTAAATCCAGGGGCGCCTGGGTGGCTTAGTCGGTTAAGCGTCTGGCTTTCGCTTAGGTCGTGATCTCGCGGTTCGTGGGTTCGGGCCCCGCGTCGGGCTCTGTGCTGACTGCCAGCTCAGAGCCTGGAGCCTGCTTCCGTCTGTGACTCCCTCTCTCTCTGACCCTCCCCTGCTCACGCTGTCTCTCTCTCTCTCTCCTAGAAATAAATATAAATAAATAAATAAATAAATAAATAAAATAAAAATTAAATCCAGGGTGCTTGGCTGGCTCAGTTGGTGGAGTATGTGACTCTTGATTTCGGGATTGTGAGTTTGAGGCTCACATTGGGTGTAGAGATGACTTAAAATAAATATATAAAATTTAAAAAATAAATCCAAAGTGACAATATTTTCCATGACACCTAATGTGAGTTCATTTATTATAATATTTTTGAATGCTAGAATTTCAAAAATAAAATGCATAATAGAATAGTAACATCATAAACTGAATATGCTCCCAAGAATTGAACCAGCTGGCCTATGCTCCACTTTAAAAATTGAATAAACAAGATGGTAACCTGTGGCACTACGTGGAGATCAGGCATGGGACCAAAAAAGGTTTTGGAAATGTTTAAAGAAAATTACTCACGTCACACAAGAATTTTTTAAAAACCTCTCATATCACTTGTGAAGATTTGATTCAATACATGGGCTTATCTTGACATGCAAATCATGTAAACACTCTGAATACTTCTATACAAATACATTCACAAATAATTGCATAAATATATCATTCAATTGACTGATTCCTTTTTTAAAAACCTGTACTTTGAAAACATAATTTGGCAAGAATAATGCAAGCCACTCATCATAGCTAAAATACATTTACAGGAATGAAAATGAGGACCAGTCTACATATACAAAATTAAGGAACTGAATGATGAGTTCTTTTAAACTGTTCATTAAGGGGTGCCTGGGTAGCTCAGTCAGTTGGGCGTTTGACTTTGGCTCAGGTCATGATCTCACAGTTTGTGGGTTCGAGCCCCACATCGGGCTCTGTGCTGACAGCTAGCTCAGAGCCTGGAGCCTGTTTCAGATTCTGTGCCTCCCTTTCTCTCTGTCCCTCCCCTGCTCACACTGTCTCTCTCTCTCAGAAATAAATAAAACATTAAGATAAAATAAAATAAAATGATTAAATGTTCATTTATTCCCAATTTTATGACAATAAAATAACCTTGTTATATGAACATATTAGTTCACCTTTCCCAATTAATACAACAGTAAATGAAGAGCAAAAATTAAGGTTAGTGGAACACTGGAATATAATACTGAAAAATATTATGATAACATTGGAATATTAGAATTCTACTTATGCCTCCAGAAAAGTGACCCTAATTATATAAATGCTTGTGCAAAGATTTGATCCATATTCAAAGTGCATGTGTTTCTGAACAGATCTTGTCTATTATTAAACAGAAAAAACCCTAAATATAACTCCCCATTAATGGACCCAATTCTAAATTCTCCACTAAACAATACAAGATAAAACAAAGGACTTCACACTGACATCTTAGTCAGAAGAAAAGATGCCAGATTTTGCTTCCAAATCAGAGTTACAAAATACAAAAATGTATTTAATGATTAAGTATTTCTATTTTCATTTAGAATTCATTCAATATCAAAGATAAAATATCATCTCCAGTAGCATATATTTTTGAGTTATGATAGAGGCGTGCTCCATATATTAATAAAATAAAATATATTTGATCTGTTTCTGCAGTTGATTTTTCTTTTTTTTTTTAAGTTTATTTATTTTGAGAGAGCATGTGTGCACATGTGAGAGGGAGAGAGATAGAGGCAGAAAGAGAGGGAGAGAGAGAAAATCCCAAGCAGGCTCTGCACTGGCAGTATGGAGCCTGATGCAGGGCTCAAACTCACGAACCATGAGATCATAACCTAAGCCAAAATCAAGAATCCTATGCTTAACCACTTGAGCCACCCAGGCATCCCTGCGGTTGATTTTTCTTAAATCTGGTTTACTTTACACTCGTGTACATTACCTGCTTGGCCACTGGAATATGGGCTTACAATTCTTGTTCTATACTTTATGATTATATATGATCATAATTCAATCAGAATAATGAAGATATGAAAGAAATATGCGAAGGCATGATTGACTGACAAGTGACTGGAACTGGGCAGAATGCACCATTACAATGGAGAGAGTACAGTTCTGTAGTCTCCAGATGCAGTATAGTGTAGTCACGAGGGTTTTGGGCTATATGCCAAACTACCTGGGTTCCAATTTTAACTTCTTATGTGATGTTGGACAGTAAATTAACCTTTCTATCATTTTAGCTATAGAATGAGAATGACCACAGGACTAACATTATAGAGGTGGTAGATTAATAGATTGGAAAAGTGGCTGACACATTCAAAAGCACCCAACAAGTGTTTGCTATGTATTCTTTCTTATAAAGAACAATTTTTCTGATCTGGCTCAAAAAATAAAATTAAAATCAAAGTATAGAATGAGGTGAGCATATGGATAGAGAGAAGGAAATAAGAAGTGCTTTTATTCATAGTGGAGAGTAAGGTATATAGAGAAGTTCAGAACTCCAGGATTCTCTGTGTTCTATAAGAAAGAAAAGTTGGATTTTAGTCTTTCTTCACTTGAGTGCATCACTGAGGATCCTTGAGCAGGGAAAAATACAATGATTGCAGTGGTGTTTGAAGAAGATAATTTCTAAATTGAAGTGAATAATAGATGTTTTGCACAAAGTCTTATTTTCAAATTTCAATTTCACCCGGCCAAAGGGAAATAAAGATTCATCTCAGACTGGTTTCCTGCCCCCAATTCTACCTCAGAATAGCTAAGGAGTCACCACATTTTCATATTTGTCTTTAGCATGGGGTTTTATTTGAACAGAAAATTGATGACTTTAAAATTAAGGGGAAAAAGCCACTGATTTAGAGTCATATCCCATTACCAACATTACCACTGAATTAAATAATGTAAAAAACCCCCAATTGTTACCATTTTTGAGAGACAGATACTTTCTTTTTCAAAAAACTCTTCCCAGGGCTCCCATCATGTCTCTGTTCCTCAGGCTGTAGATGAAGGGATTCAGTATGGGGGTGACCTCAGTGTACATCATAGTCGTGACACTCTCTTTAACAGTGAATCATTGACTGATAGGCACAAGTACAGACCAATAATTGTCCCTTAAAATAGAGACACCACAGAAAGGTGAGAGCCACAGGTGGAGAAGGCCTTGTGGATGCCCCTGGCCGAAGGGAACTTGAGGATGGAGGACACAATCCGTGCATAAGACATGATGATGAGTAGGAACGGGATGATGAGAAGGAGCCCTCCCGTGAAAAATATAAGTAAACCATTGACTCGAGTGTCAGAGCAGGATAGCTTTACCAAAGTAGAGGTATCACAGAAAAAGTGAGGGATCACATTGTCAGCACAGAAGGACAGCCTGGCCATGAGCAGGGTGTGCAACATGGCATGCGCAGTAGTCAGCACCCAGGACAGCACCAGCAAAGAGAGACAGAGCTTGCGGCTCATGATGGTGGTAGAGTGCAGAGGAAAACAGATGACCACATAATGGTCATAGGCCATGACAACAAAAAGGAAACTCTCAAGAACTCCTAAGAACAAGTAACAATACATCTGAGCCAGGCAGCCAGCATAGGGGATGGACGGGACTTGGCTCTTCATGTTGTGCAGCAGTTTGGGCATTGTGACAGAGGAGAAGCAGAGTTCAGAGAAGGACAAGCTACTTAGAAACAAATACATGGGTCTGTGGAGGTGGGAGTCCAGGTGAATGAAGACGATGATGGGAAGGTTCCCCACGGCGATGGTAACACACAGGCAGAAAGATAGGATAGAACAGATTCCACTGCTCTGGTCTGATGGCCAGGCCCAGAAGGAGGAACTCTGAGATGGCAGTTTGATTCCTTTCTGTCATTCGGTGATTCTCTTATATTTATGAAGAAAATAACGGATCTTAAAATCCAAGTATAAGAAATAAATATATTTCTATTGTATGTGGCCTATTGTCAAATGGTGGATGAGTGAGAATATAGGCACAGGTGGCAGCTGACTCTATTGAAAATACAAGTCTCCAATGGCATCCAAGTCTCTAAATTGGATGACATATCACATTTAACACCAATGGTCACTTCTTCCTTTTTAAAACTCTCCCATCGCTTGGACGTGATGACACCTCAGTTTCGAGTTTCTTCCTACCGCCCTTGCAATGCCTTCACAGAGTCCTTAGAGAGTGTCTCCTGCTCGGTCATCATTTGAATATTGGTAGTCCTCAGAATATTGTCTTTCTACTTCCACTAAATATGACAGTGAATCCCAAGTCCAGTCCACATAGCTCATCTGAGCTGTAGAACCTGGGTGTTCAGCTCTCTGATGGCCATTTTCCCTGCATATCTCACTGTTACTCTGAATTCAATCGTTATGAAATTTAGTTTATTGTCCTCCTTGTCCCAGAAGGGCTCCACTCCCAGTAGCTCTAGTTCAATGACCGACAGTACCACCTGCAAGGTACTTGAGTCGAACCTGAAAGCCATCCTTGACTCCTTCCTCTCTTCATGCTCCTGACTCATTTACTGTACGTTACCAGTCTCCCTTTTTGCTCACTTCTCATATAGGCCCTGCTATATATCCCAAAGCCACCATGCAGGTCACTCATTTTCCTCACCTGAACCATCACAACAAATCTGGTCTTTCCACATTTACTTTCACTCCCTTCCATCCCATTGAAATTGTCTAGAATCATTCTTTTTATAGCTCAAACCTGTTTGTGTTAGTATTCTAATTGAAGAGTTTCCTCTTTCCATTAACATAAAGCCCAAATGGGTTAACATAACCCACAAGACCCTTATTTCATCCGATCAATTAGCTCATGTCTAACCCTCTCTACAGTCCAGAGATACCAAGTATTTCTCATTTTCTCAAAGACATCTTGCTGGCACCCACCATATCATATCACATTTTCCATTACCTGACACATGCTGTCTCCATCTCATTCCATCCTGTCTCCTAGTAATTCACCCTCCAGACCATTAAATAGGGATTATTTTCTCTTTGCTAGACTTTAAGGATAGTGGAAGGTTCTATCTTGTTCACAGCCAAACCCTGGTACCAAGAACAATGTGAAGAGAGAGAGGGAGAGAGAGAAGAGAGAAGGAGGGAAAGAAGGAAGAAAGGAAAAGACATTTATGCCAACCTAAGGGATTTCTTACTTGTTTCAACATTCACCAAAAATAGTGGAGGCTGACACATCCACTGACACTGAGGTCTTCCAATCCATAGCTCCTTGTACTAATTTCCAGATATTGTACTGCAGATTGTCCAGAATTTCTCTCCCCAGGTCACAATATTACCCCATCTCAAGATATCCTGCTATATTGCTTACGCTAATCTACCCAAACAATAGTGCTATAATTTTTTCCTTAAGATTTACCCCACACAGAAAAATAAAAGATTTGCCCCACAAAATATCGGTATTGATGCGGGAAGAAATGAGATGGATGTGGAAGTTGAGAGACCCTGGAAAAGCAAAAAGAATGAGGATAATTTCCAATCTCTTGGCTCTAGTTTCTGGTCTCCTCCAGACACCCTTCTCACGGTGTGAGTCAGGATTGGCAAGAAAAACCAAGAAGAGCATTTCAGGATGAGAAAAACATCTCCTAACCCTAAAGAGAGAAAAGAGTGCACTCACTGTCGGCTAGTCACCAAGATCATGGGGATTAAACCAGGCATATGCATGTGTTTTCACACTTGGACAGGGGAAAGATCTGTTACTACATATTAGTGGGGGGAGGATCCATCTCTGACTCTTCAGGAATTTCTTTCTCTGAGAGACAAGTAGGATCCACCTATTGTATAAAATACCAGATTAGGAGCCCAAATTAGTCAGATTTCACTGACAAATGCTGCCGTTGACGAGCCATACAAACTTTATGTACCCCTTACAGTCTACTTGCTTCGGCTTTAAAATGCCAGTACTGCCTTCTCCCTGCCTACCTCACAAAGCTGCTATCAAGTGAAATCTCTTTTGAAGAAACTCTTTGCAAACCATAGAGGACTCTGTTGTGAAATACTTATGGATACTATTTTATATTCAAGAAATTGAATCTGGTGATACTAATCAAGCTATTTCTAGAAGGTCGAGCAGTTTTTAAATTTTTTAAAATATTTTTTAATGTTTTATTTATTCTTGAGAGAGACAGAGCATGAGCATGACCATGACCAAGGGAGAGGAAGAGTTAGAGAGGGACACAGAATCCGAAGCAGCCTCCCAGGCTCTGAACTGTCAGCACAGAGGCCAATGCGGGGCTCCAACTCACAAGCTGTGAGATCGTGACCTGAGCCAAAGTCAGATGCTCAACTGACTGAGCCACCCAGATGCCCCAGGGTTTTTTTTTTTTTTTTTTTTAATTTTTAGACTGCCTGAAGAACAATCCCATAGAGTCACATCATAAAACCTCAATAATATGAAAGCTAAGGTTGGAAGAAGGCTAGGACATGTACCTTCCAGCCTAACTTACTACATATGTCTCAAGGTGACTTCAGGGCTTTGACCCAAGACTCCTCACTCTTTCATTCATTATAAGCTCATAGAGATTCAGACTGTACTCTTCACCTGAGTCTACACCATCCTTTCTCACTTCTCTCATTCTGCCTTCTTGGGCTTGGGGGATATAAGGTCCCAGTGGAACCGACATGGTGGGGGAGGACATTAATAACAAACAAAGTGAATTTCAAACCTCCTTGGGATAAATCCCCTAGGAGGTACTTTTAAGAAGCAGGGACTTCTTAATTACTAGCCATCTTTGGGTAGGGGGACAGGCAACAAAGAAAACTGTTCATACCCTAGTCCCACCAGGAATGCTGCTTTAGCTACCACAGCCCAGAAGACCTCTTCCTTCTTTGATTTCATTATTTCCACTCTTGAAGTATTTGTCTCCATAAGTGCTTAAGAGTGATAATGTATTTTTTTGGATTATTGCTTCAGAAATATTATCCTTAAAACAGAAAAAGAAATGTTCTTTATTGATCAGTTTATTCAATAATTAAATTCCATAATTTATCCCTGTTACATTTAGGAAAAGTAACTGTGAGCTATTTCCACACATCACTTGTCACTTAGTGATGAAATCTAATCACAGTCTGTAAACACAGTCACTCCCTCCTTAGTTTCCTAGCCATTCCCTGTCACATTTGACAACTGTGTCTTGGATCTTGGATCTCAGTGAGGCAACTGGATGACCAGGATAAATGGAAAGAAAATGGTGCTGTCAGCAAACTAAATAACATGTGAAAAGTTTTAAGAGTTAAAGAAAACATGGCACACTCAGGAAACTCAAGGAAGTTCAGTGTGACTATCACATATTATTGGGAGAGAGAATGCAAGAGCTGGGGTGAGAGAGTCAGGCAGAGTCCTGGTCAGGCAAAATCTTATAGAATGCGGCAAGCAAGGCCACCTTCATCCTCAGCAAAACATCTCTAAATGGCTTTAAAATTACATGTTCCAATTTCATTTTTAGGTCAGTAATTCAGATTAAAAGAGAGCACATTAGCATTAAAAATAAGGAAGGCAGAGAAATCATTAGAAGGCTATTTCTATACCCCAAAATTAGAGATAATGGTTATTTGAACCAAGGTAGTAGTAAAAGGGTTTCAAAGTGGATATATTGGAGAAAGGTGTCACCTATAAATATCCACTAAATGTTTGAACCAAACCAACATTTCTTGATACCAGTCTCTTTGGAAATAAAATAAGCAAACCTGTCCATCCACATAGAATGTAGTGGGTTGCCGCAAGCAATGTTCCTTGTGTAACAGTCATTTAAACACACACACACACACACACACACACACACGGGGCACGTGGGTGGCTCAGTCGGTTAAGCACCTGACTCTTGGTTTCAGCTCAGGTCATGTTCTCACGAATTCATGAGTTCAAGTCCCATGTCAGGATCTGCAATTACAGGATGGAGCCTGCTTGGGATTCTCTCTCTGTCCCTCTCCCATGTGCATGCACGGGCACTCTTTCTCTTTCAAAAATAAATAAATAAACTTTAAAAACAAATTAATTTTTTAATTTTTTGTTTTGAGAGAGACTGGGAGACAGCAGGAGTGGGAGAGGGCAAAAAGAGAGGGAGACACAGAATATGTAGCAGGCTCCAGGCTCTGAGCTGTCAGCACAGAGCCTAACGCAGGGCTCAAACTCACAAACTGTGAGATCATGACCTGAGCCAAAGTCAGATGCTTAACCAACTGAGCCACCCAAGTGCCCCAAAACAAATAAATTTTTAAATCATAAACGGTATCAGAGAGTTGCAGAAGCAACAAAAACTACAGAAATTAAAGTTTCAGAGAGGGAGACAGACTTTTCTGAGATGAGGTGAGTACAACTGGCTAATTTTATGTTAGAGGCTATTTGCTGAGTCTGGGCACAGACTGAGGCAGAGGACATCTGCTAGGGAAATAGGAACCATCAAAGCTGATAGCAGTTGCACAATACTGGAGTAACAGGTAGGACTTGAGAATACATAAACACATGGGTGGTTTTCCTCAGGGGACATTTGATGAATTTGGTGCAGTGAAAATAGGAGTGAGGTCAGGCTTTTGAAAAGGCAGCATAAAGTGTCTATAGTCTTTCAGGACTGGAAACCAAAGACTCATCCAAAGAAGAGAACTTCTCCAAACACTGGCCA